GGTTCAGCTTACCGCGAGAGGAATGAAAAGGAATGCGAACGCGAAAGCGGGACGAGTAAAGAAGGGCAAAGAGGGAAAATTCATTTATTCATTGGACTTTGCTTCGCCGAGCGAAGAAAAAGCCTTTTCGCGGAAAACTTCTATCCGGGGGAGAAAAATGCCGCGCAGCTGGGTAGAAACGAGCAAACGAGGCGAGGTCCAACGGGCGCGAGTTTTAACCGCAAGAGTAAACGTTTAAAATTGCAATGAACAATTTGTCTCGGTGGAAAAAAGAGATCTTCCGATTATCGCGAAATCACCACACCGACCGAGAGACCGGCGAAAACCAATATTTTAACGCATCCGCGATTCACCGACCGCGAGACCCTACTGACAGCTTAATCGTTTCTAGTTTAACCGCGAATAGCGCCCTGCGCTTTATATACACACGCGTCTAGCCAAATCCCAATTATTTCTAACTTGGTGTCCCGAGAGCGCGTGTCATCGTCGCTTTAACCATTTGCTTTACACCGTATCGAGAAGCCGATTTAATCCTCGGCGTTTAGCTATCTCGAAAGGCTGGCAGCCATCGAGCCGTTGCAATCCATTTACGAACCAAGCGCTTCGACGTCGCTACCGACGATAACGATATTCGTTAGGTTACCTGTAAGTGCATCCGCGTTAACCGCTTCTCTTCCGCTACGGAACGCTTCGCAAACGATGTTACATCGCGAAATCGGGGTAACGGAGAGACAACGGCGCGCATCTTTCCACGAGATAGCCTTGTCTTCTCGCAGAGAAAAAGCCCGGAAAAAATGGAAATTTGGAAGTAATCTCGGGACACGGAAGACGAAAGATTCGACGCGGCGTGGCAGACTACGGAGCGGCGAAGAGAAAAGAAAGAAAGAGGAGAAAGGAGAGAAAAGAAGAAAAGCAGCGCGAGTCGATGACGAGAGAGTAGTCGTGGCCAGTGGTAGTCAGACCGGCAGGCGGTAGGTACGAGTAAACGCTACCAACCGTACAGCTGATGTTCGTTCGATCAATACGGGGCGTTGCGGCACGAAACGCTATAGAGTATGTCACGTGGCTTAGCCCGTCCCATTCCGAGTCCGCGACTCCTTTCCACGCTTCGCTCTCCCCCTCTTTTCATCCCTTGTACTTTCCTATTCTTCCTCCTCTTTTCCCACCCATTTTCCTTTTTCCTCTTCTTCCACTTCTTCCACCTCTTCTTCTTCCGCTTCGTCTTCACCCTTTGCGGAATGCATCCTTTTCGTAGTCCGTCACCCCCTCTTTCCTAGCTTGCCGCGGGACCTACCGCGGAATTCCGTCAGTAGCTCTCCTTCGCCTTTTCCTCTTGTCGGGTCACGCACGCGCGTGCCACACTTTCGTCGTTGCCTTTTCTCTCGATTTCGTCTATTAAAACGTAAGCGAGAGAGCGTATGGGGTGTCGAGTCTAGCTCCGAGTCGCCAGTTTCACCGATTCCCCTGACCAATGGGCCCTCGGCGGATCTCTTCTCGTAACTTCTCGCGCGTATGTAGAACGCGGATCGATATCGCCTCGCGAAAGGATCTATGCTCGGAAGGATGCTCCTTCGGAAATTAACGAGAGACAGGGTATCTAGCACAACAGACACGGAGACGCCAGCGCTACCCCCACAACTGGCCGTCATGTCGCCCGATCTGGGACAGTCGCGTAATATTTCGAGTAACGCAATTTCCACGAAAGCTTTCATCCGATTCCTGTAATCAACCAACGACCAACCGGACCAAGTTTAAAGACCAGACCAACGAGAACCTCTCCTCTTTCATCCTTCTTTTCCTCTTCTCTCCTAACGAGGCTGCGCGCAAATAACGCGTCTCGAGCTTCCTGCGAATTCCCCGAGACGATTTAAAAATACTTCGCCTTTCTTCCCTAACAAACCAGAGTATTTCCTCGCCTCGTTGTTCCACGGCGTTCTAATCACGTGCGCTACGTCTTCTTCTTTCCGTGTCAGTGCCATTTTATGGCATACCGTTGCCGATAAGCTCGCCAACATCGCTGGCCATCGCAGCCGTGAATTTCGCGCCATGCACGAAAGATATTCCCAGACCTTTACGACCCAACCGACTATCGTCCCCGTACCGTACGAAATTCCGATTTCGAAAAACGACCGATGCAAACCCAACGACGCGTTTCAGTCCGCGACGACTTTCGCCGATCTGCTCAAACACGGAATCCTCTGTTTTGCAAAGCACGAGGAAGTCGATAACATCACGCAAAGGTGAAGGTGCTGAATTAACTAGCTAGGTTAAGGACGAGATTTCAGCTTCTCGAAAGCGGGTCGCTGCAATTTCACCGTGAACCACTAAACCAGTTATGGCTAGAATTTTTTACGCGATACGCGTGTTTGTCCGTTTCTTATGGCGGTACGTTTCGTCACGACATCGCTTGTTCCAGCACGACAAACTTCCAGTTTCCTGCGGCAAAAAAGCTTCCATGCTTCCATCGTCTCCATCGCACGCTTCCGTTCTTCCGTTCTTCCGAACACTTTCTCCGTGCGTGTCGACTGTGAACCGAACTCTGATCTTTCGCCTTGTCGAAAAGTCGCGATCGAGTCGTGATCGAGTCGTGATCGAGTCGTGATCGAGAAGAACTTACTCTCTCCGTTTCCGGTTGCAACGTGACAAGCGTTGTTCACTCTGGATCACATCGACGGTCCAAACGTCTGGCGAAATCCTTGATCTTCCGACGATCGTCTTCGACCGAAACTCCATTCGCTTATGGTACACGCACGCGTGTATGCGGAAGTATATAGAAACGCCGAATCGAGTCGTCTATATTGATCGATTTTAGTCTATAACGCGAAAGAAGCCTGATCGCAGCTGTAATTTCCGCACCACTAGCCAATATATTGGCCAGCTTACCCTGGAAACTTTGATATCGAATTTGCGGAACATCTTCTTGGTCTTCGGCCGAGAGACAGAGTAAAGAAATATAGCTGTGGAAACTGAAATTTCCAACTTTTTACGCTTCTTACCTCGTTTACTCGGCTACTGACGGAGATTAGTTGCGAGACGTTTTCGCGTCTCTCAGGATCGAAATCGATCTATCCAATCGCTGTTTTTCTCGTCTGCGCTCGCCAGGGTGGAGCACGTATTTGGCCCGACTGCTGGGTCGTTCTTTCGGTGAATTAAAAATCGTAGCGATAGCCGGAACTGATCGACGAACCTCTGGACTCAAAATGGGCCTAGAGGGAAATTGCGGTCTTGGAAGAAACGCGTGCAATCTATGGTAAATCTCGGGAATCTAGAACGCGATCGAAGCGAATATTTCAAGTCACGTTCCTTACGGAACGTCTCACACGCGCTTCGATTTTTCGTTCGCGATGACTTTCTTTATTCCTCCCCTTTTTTCTCTCCTCGTTTCCTTTCCTCGTGGTCCCAGTACTTGTACGGATAACGTCTCCCGACGTTCGCAATTGCATTTGCACCTAGGCGAATTTAAATTTAAATTCGATACGAGGACAGGAGACCTGCTCGGATTTCGTTCTCGGTATGTTACGCGTGGAATTACCGCGCGAATTCCGAAAGAGAATGATAATTTGAAAAATTCGATTGGACGAAGAAGCGAAAGACAAAGCTTACCTTAACGGGAGATATGTGGCTGGTCGCAATGAACGAGGCAGGTTGTCGCTATTCGTTGTACAGCTTTTTACTTCAACTTTCACGGACTCTCATCTTCCTTCTTTCCACTTCGCATTCGCTTTCTCGAGCAAAGGATCCCCTTAGCAGCGCGCGTGTACGGTTTTCAGCGTCGTCCGCTCGCAACTGTCATCTAGAAAAAAGGTAACATCTCTGGATGTAAGATCTTTCGGGCTCTTGGCTCGTTAGGGCTTTAACGAGCGATGCCAAGCGTGGATTAATCGTTCGCGCGATATACCGTCTTTCCATTTTGCCCCGTTACGACTAAGCGGATGTGGGCTATACGATTAAGAATGGAAAAGGCATTGTAATTACGCGATGGAAGCCTGCCATTTCCGATTCGCGTTCCACGGATTTTTCGCGTTGGCCTACAAGAGTTGATACGATTTCTGAATATCGCGACGCCGAGTCGCGCCAACTTTCTCGGAATTGCCGCTGACCAGCCATCAGGGTGTTGCCAGCAACGTTACTAACAACCAACGTTCAACCTTGGCCCCGTGGCCCGATTCGTGCATACTGTGCGCTAAACTATCCTAACTAATCGTTCGTTGTGTCTCTCTGACCAAAGCTTTACGAATAACGCGCCGACGATTTCTTTTAATTTTTCTCATTATCCGGAACGGTCAGAAAGTTCGGTAACTCTTCCAAACGATCTGATTTTTCTGCGAAGTCCGGATTAATTATCTCTAGGAACGTCGCAGATTCTGCAATTTGTCGAATAATTACTCGATCGAACGAGCTATGTCGCTGAACCAACTCGGATGAAAGAAAAACAGAACGCCTTTCGGTTCCTCTGCAAGTTCGACCGAGTTCCATTCGAAAGGCTGAAGAAAAAATTTGTCAAACTTTTTTCGTTACTCTAAATCTCTTGGAAGTTGCTCGCACTTTGGTCGAAACGTGGTCAAAAATCTCTGATCGTTACGGAATCGAACCAACGTGCTTCGACATAAATTACGACTTTTTCGCCAATGATTTTTAGTTGAGTTTCGGATCCGAATTTTAAGTACGCTTACATGTCGCGTAGCGTAACTCCTTTATTCGACTTCTTCGTTCGAGAATATCTCGAAATATTTTCCGATATTCGAAGAGACTACTCGACGTGACGAAGACGACGACATCGGTGTCGAAGTTGGCGTCGACGCTGACGTCGACGTGTCGCGAGCAGGAGAATATTAAACCACGAACAACGGAATCACGCAACATCGTGGCGCATTAACACGGGCCTAACGTGTTCGCGTAGGAAACGTCGCGTGTACCAGCACCATACGCGCAGATATCGCCAAAGGACTCACTCCGTGGCTGATCTATGCTCAACCTTCGCTACTAGCGGACGAGAATACTTCCCTGAAATGAATTTCGGCGTACGCTTTCGATTCATCGCTATCGTCGCCGGTTGACAAGGATCACTCGTGCAAGAAACTTCCGATTCTTCGGGATATTTCGCATCTAGGTTACCAAACACGCGTGAACCAGTTGAAAACGCTTAGAAGAAAATCGAATGGGCTCGTTCGCTGAGAAATAAGGTTAACGTGTCAGAAAGAAAGTAACTTACACGGTTATTTCTGCGAAAACTGCGCGAGCTATAGCGTAATAAAAGTAAACGTACATTTTCCCGTAGCTTTCCCGCGAAAGTAGTTGAAATTGAACCGTCGTTGCATCGCTTATAGACTACCCTAAGCTTCTCGTCTCGCATACGATTCGTATTTTTCCGAATCGCGAGGATAGCCGCTCGTTTAGCGAGCTATCGTTCCTCCGATATATAGATCTGCCCGGATTTGCGACGAATATGCCAAGTTATCGCAAAGAACGATGCGTTATCAGGGTCGATGGAATTACGCGGTCGAAAGAAGAACCGTCAACTAACAATATACGACAGTCAGCCTATCATCGATCGAGCATGCTATTTTTGTACAGGTGTCCCTTTTCCGTAATAACGAGAATAATGCCGTGAAAAAGCTATTCGTCTAGACGATCCGCTTATATCGACCTACACGGCTAAATCCCTCGTTCCTATAACCTATATAACGAACTCCGATACCGATGGAATAAAATTTGAAATCGCGCCTCTGATTAATGCAGAGGTAGGAATATCGAGTGGCCTGACACGCACTCTGCGACAGTTTTGTACCTTGGCACCGTTTCTTCGTGACAAGCGGTATGCCGACTCGATGCACGCGTATGTATGTACGTGTATACAGATACAGTTCGCAATGCGAACACCGTCGCGTGAACAACCGGCCATGTAACATAGCCGGGCAAACTCGAGCATTTTCGAGTGTACTAAAGCTGAAGAATATAACGCGACTTTTTCTCGCGCAACGACTCGGTGTCCCCTCGGCCGGCTGCCGGCGGCGGCCAATTCTATTTTTTTTTACCCCTCTGAATTCCCAAACGAAATTTCCCACGAAATTTCATCGGAAAGCACCGCGAGTCGCGGAAAATAAAGCACACGACTTTCAGCGAACACGAACACGAACGGGGACTGTGATTAGAAAAAATATTTCGCGTGCTCTTCGACGTTTACCTTGAAACACCGGTGCTGCCGGTTCGCGATGCATAACTGTGCAGAGGGCAGATATTTGCAGCGATAAAAATGGAAAAAAAGGGAAAAAAAGAAAAATGGAAAAAACGAACAGAGGAAATAGTAATTTACTCCTGACCTTAAAACGTTGCGATTTGCAACCGCAATGTCTTACAGGCGCTCTGCGAACGCACAAACTGCGAGAGACACGCGCGAGAAACCTTTGAAAACGTATTCGTAACGCAAACTCGTTTCAATCGGCTTTAGCTACTTCTTCCACGGAATTCTCCGCCTTGTATTCATGAACTTTACGAGTCGAGCAAACTCTCGATACGAACAAGCTCGATACGTAACTTTTGTGGCTCTCTGAAAACTGCCAATTAACCTCGACGTCTCTCTGTCGCTGTACGCGAACCTCTGTTCCCAATCTGCTTCGTCGTTCCAAGTACGCTGTTCTTTAAGATCGCGTGATTAATCCACATCTACGATTAGTCCCAATGACACACATAGATCGTACGTTATTGATACGGTGTATAGGTGCGTTATGAATTATTACACGCGCGTTAATTACTCGATCCGACGTAGAACCAGGCATAAGTATCCGTGTAGGAAGACGTGTCCGACTTGGCTAGTAATTTGGAGAAAAACGTGTTGGAAATTGTGATCCACGACATTGAGCAAAATGTATGCGAAGGGTAGTTTACGTGAGAATGATCACACCTGTTTCACCCCAGTCAGCTTTCCATACCTGTAACGTTTGTAACCACTGACGTTTCACTCCTCTCTCTCTCCTTTACTCCTCTTTCCATGCAATAGCTATACTCTTTTGTCGCGAAAGAAATTCCATTCGTATAATTTTAGAACAGGTCAAAAGGGGCAGGTGTACGAGCCGTCTACTCACAGTTGCCCATTGCTCGACTTACCTTTATTAACCCCCGATTCACCTCGATTCGCCGCGCGAAACAACTTACTCGACCAACAGACTCCTCGATTACTTTCCGTTCAATTACGTTCTATAGTATACCGTCGCACCGTTCGGTCTTCCTTACGATTGTCTCTCGTGATATGCTCCGAGAGTCAAGCTCGTTGAAAAATGCATCGTATCGACACGCACGATTGCGGGCAAACAGCCAGACTATAATTTCAAAACGCGTTGCAATAACCATCGGTTTGAGTTAGGTTAGGATTCTCGACTTCTGATCCCGACAAAACCAGGCTGTTATCCGTTCGAGATGGATAGATTTCTTACACGCAGATTACGTTCACAGAATACGTGTTAACCGATCTCTACCGAGACGTGTTTATGCACAGTCCTATCTACGTAATCCAATTTCGATCTAGCGATCTTTGGTCTCGAGAAAGAAATGAGAAGGAAAACGTTCGTTTATGTCCTGCCTTTTCACCTTCCTGCATGAAATCGACCGACTTCCCACTGCTGTTAACGCGTTGCAGTGATCGCGTTTTTGACTGCAACCTTCAACCGTCTAATAACCTTTAGAGAACCGATAAGATCCCCGAATCAATATGCCATATACACGATCTACGCAATTGCGGCTAATCAGCTACTGTGATATTTAAAGCACGGATATTCAGAGAAAATTATTCGATACGTGCAACGCGATACGATCGTTCTTCAGCGCGTATCGTAATTCGTCATCGGGATTATCGCAAAGGCATTTTTTCTATTTTCATATTTTTATTCGCGTTCGGGGGAAAGGAGAATGAGGTATTACGAGACGCTTGGTAAACACGCGTGATATTTATTTTGACGGAATACCAGCGGCTCTCGGGAAACGCGGGTTTGAATTACGTTATCGAAGGAAGCATGAAACACGCGAAGAGGGATCTCGAGATCCGGAAATTTCATCGAAATCGACCTACAGCTCAATCGCCTCGCGTTGAAATCTTATCAAGTGCGTCGCACCGAAACGATTCGATCGATCGATAAATTATTTAATTACTATACCAATGACGTGACAATTTCAGACTAATGACATTCGCTGTAATCGCTTTGTAATAATCGACAATTGATAATCATTCGTGTTTCGATCAAGTGTCTCGTCTGGGAGATACGCGTAAGCGAAATCGCACTCATTCACGCAACTCGTCCACGATTTTTCTCGTTTCTGCTTTATCACGCTTCGTTAGTAAACCTGCGATTGCTGAAAATTTAATCCACCCTTCCAACCCTTTAATCGAGGCGTCAGTCTAGCAGCGAAAGCGTAAAGAATGTAAAAAGAAGATTCCATCTCGTTAAGAGACAAAAAATCGAACGCTCTTGCAATTTACGGACCCCGTTGGACCTTCGTACTGTACTTAAGGCTCGTACTTCCGCGTATATTTTATCGAGAGAACCTTTCGTCCCTGACGAGTACCCACTCGATCGTGCGAACCGATATCGTAACGGAGAGACATCGAGATCCCAAGGTATTCTCGTGGCTCGAACATCAACCTATTAACACGAATACCCTCTCGTTTTTCACGCTTTGCTCCAGTTATCCGTTTTCGAATTACTCTCGAAGGGAAATCACGAGTAACGAGAGTTCACTCGGAAAGAGCGAATCTGCGGAATGTGAATTTTCATCCCGTAACTCGACGTTTATTCCAACCATCCTGCGAATCAACCGCGGTAATTCACGACCAATTAATCGCGTCTTGGTCAATTGTAAACACCACGTACGTACGTTTAAATCGGACTAACCAACAAACGTGGATCAAAGTTTCCCGAGTAGGACACGCGACTATAGGTACAGACGAACGCGGACAAAGAGAAAAGCCGAGACTTTGATACGAATGCGAATTTAGGGTGATAGGGGGGAGTGGAGTAAAGGGAAACGGGGTTAATAACCCACTCGGAAAAGCCTTGGTCTCCTGTTTTATCTGCGCTTCTTTAAAAATGACTGACCCGCTAAAGAGCAGACATCACGAGACGACGCTATAAGGCTGGCACACGTTCCATTATCCCCATAATTGTCCGACGTAGTTTCGCGTTCTCTTTTGCCTCATGTCGTAAACCTTATGTCTGCAAAGTTTCTACGAAGTAGGACAATTACACGTACGTATGTATATGCAAACCGTGCGCGTAACATTGCCGAGTTGTTCCGTCGGTTGATTCTACTCCAAATTCGTTTGGCGATGTCGTTAGCGACGAGACGAGATACGTGGAGCAAATAGGTGAAAAAGGAAGCTTCGTACTCCAACTTTCTGTAATCGCGTCAAGTGTAGCGACGTCACCTTATCGCTAAATATCCTCGATTAATTACCTAGCTGGGGGCACAAACGCAAAGGCACGAACGATCTTCCCAGGCTAGCAGATTGCTTCGTCCCGTTCGATCGCAGCAACGGAATTTCACCCAACGAATACTCCAGACACCGATACGATTCGTTATCGAACGCGATTAATGGTACAATCGGTAATTAGTAGTACGGGAGCTTCGTTACATCGAGGGAGTTATAATCGCGATTATAATCCCAAACGTGCTCGGCTTTAGTTCAGGGCATCGATTAATGCGTAACGCGCAACGATAACGCAATATCCGAGCAAACGCGCGAAATGGCGCTTCGCGCAATAACAAAGCACGTCGATTTTTTAATCTCTTAATCTACTTTTCCCTCGGTTCTCGACCAAGAAATCGAAGTCGAGAACGCAGTTTGGATAGCCATTGCGACGAAAGCTAAGATAAACGAAGATTAGCTCGTTTCACGAGCAAACCGATATTTAGCGTGATTGCTCGAGAGATCATTCATAACCGTTGTTCGTCCCATCACGGACTAGCACGCAGCATTTTCTTCGAGAAACTTCTCACGTGGAAAGGCTAGAATTTGCAGTCACTACAAAGGGTCTAAATGCATATTAAATCAACAGCCTTGACCTCGAGAGCAGTATTTTCGTGATTTAGCCGCGTGTCCTTCGTAGATTCTTAAAATAACTCGACAACACAGGGTCTCGCACCGATCTCAACGAGACTTGGCACAGATACATCGTACCGGCATCGGTAATTAAGCCGAGTAATGACACTGATGTTGCATCCAAATTTTATATTCCATCGTCACTGACAAATTATTTACGCTATAGGTATAGGTATAGCGTCTGTCGTGACTATAACTTTCGCTATATCATGGAAGAATTTCGTTTCGACGAAGACTCGAATCTCGAGTTCGATAGATTAATTTCGGTTAAAAATGGTTACGTAAGCGAATGCTTATGTAAGAAGAAAACGGACAAAGCGTTTAAAATACAGGTCAAACAAACGAACGAACGCGATGACTTATTTACGCCGGAAGCTTTCGAACCTAATAGCTTTCGAGTATTTCTCTGTATCCTTTCGCGAGAATCATGGAGGCTAATACTCCTGGGCCAAAGTGGGAACTAAAAGCGATGGTAAATGGGGTCGGTCAGTCTTCGATACCGTTATACGCAGCAACCTTCTCCCTCCCCTACTCTTTAGCTTTTCCACCCTCTGACGTCACAGGTTAGACAGAGAATCAAGCCAGCTCCCACCCCCGTTCAGCTTTCGTTTCGGGTCAACCGAGGTCGAGCCTAATACCGTGTTCGACTTACGTTCCTCCACTTTTCACAGCCTCGGCGAACAACATCCTTTCGTTCCATCATCTTCCCTTGGACCCCTATCCGTCAGACTGCTCGTCACCCTGCTGCGCGTTCGCGATAGTTGCGTTCGAATCCTTCGTCTCGAATAGCCCGCCCCACATATTCCAGACACTTGTCCTTCCTCCATGTCCAATGGAATTTATGTGGAATCGCGTTTCGTTAGCCTGGAATTTTAGACTCGCCGGTGCTAATTTTGTTCGCTTTTCAATCGGCGAGGAACGCGCAAGCGTTTGACAAGCGGAAACGAAACGCGACTCTGGTTTTGATAGGCCGGAATCTCGGTAGAATAGCTGGACTCGTCACCGGCAGTCCCTGACAGCTCTCGATAAAACTTTTCTCACAATTCAGGCGAACACCGAGAAAATCCGTACTTTACCCCCGGTGATTGTTGCTGCAACATTTCCTTTGCGCGCTACCCTGCAGCCTAGCCTAAAGCATATCTTTCGAACCGCCGGCTTTAAAAACCGATACAAACTTTGTCGTTTGTCTATTGGAAATTCCATTCGACGCATCGCTTTGCGTGTCGCGTTACGCGAAACAGCCATCAAGACCGGCAATACGAGTACGCTCGTCGGGTGTTACCACTCGGGTCATTATCCTGCCACCTTTCCGTCTACGTCTCTGTACGACTTTCTTCTCGATGTACGATTTCGGTTGGCAAATTTCACTCGTGGAAAGCGAACGAGCGGCAGATCGATCGTCGGAAAATATACTTCCAGCGCAAGGTGGGTGGGTTTATTTTTAACTGAATTGCCTATTTCAAAGAATCTCATGTACACGTAACCCTGTATAGTTGACGAAGTAACGGACGGTTTTAGCGGACTCAACGGTATCGCTCAAGATTAATTCAAATATTTACCGCTGAACCCCAACGTAGGGTTCTTATAGCAAGGTTTCAAAGTTGAGAGAGGAAAGAAATGTCCCATGGCCGCGAGGACGACGATGAATTACTATACGACGTTCCGTCGCATCGGACATACTCGCGGCAAACAACCCTACACTCGCTACCCCCTTGCTAGCGAACTAATTTCTCGTTTGCTGCTTCGCGATAGCTAATCGACGATAAGTTCACGCTTTTTCTTCTATCGTGTCAACGATGACCCACTTCTTGGAGCAAGACCGATTTTTCTCGTCTGTCCAAATGCTCGAAATTTCCAGACGAATTCTGCAAAACCCGCGTGGACGCGATGCAATTCCTCGTGCGTGTCTTCCGTAACCGAATGTGTATCTAAAACGACACTTGATCGAGAAGTTGACGCGCCAACGCTAGATATCGAAATCAAAGGTCTTCGAAACTTTTAACCGCGCCGAGAGGAGAAAATGGAAAAACGCTTTGCAGTTTCAGTCGATGGAATGCAAGTTTTCGCTTAGAAACGTGACGATACTACTTAAAACGAAAGGAGGGGCCACACCAGCGACGATTCTCCCTCGCTTTATACCCATTAGCGTTACATTAATTTACTCTAAGGCTTAAGAAACCCTCGTGCTTCCATGCATTGTCCAGCACTCGACGACACGCGATGCTCGCAATCGCGGTTAAAACCCCGATATTTTCCGCCTTGTAAAACGCTCACGCGTTCATCCCGATCGTCGCTTCGTCGGACATGATCGTGCAGCTCTTATTCGCTTCTTTTCATCCGGAATCGTTATCGTGTACACGTGCATATACGCGACATTTGTCGTTAAATGTTCTAGGAATGCACGAAAAGATATAACGTTTAACCGACTTGATCTCGATTCAACGAAATATTATAGCAGATATGTCGGAAACGCTACTCGGCCGAGAGTGTTACTCCTTCTTTACGACATGTTCCCATTCCTCGCTATCGATCGAACTATATCGACCCCCACCATATTCATCAACATTGTACGATACTTGCGTAGAAGGGACGAGAGTCTGAAGCTCGCGTAAAAGGGGTGAACTCGATTTATCTTAGCAAGGATACCAGGTCACGATTACGCGAGGCTGATTTTCGTACGAGTCACCCCGATCGGTTCTCGATCGGCGAATAACAGTGAACGAGATCACCTGAGAAAAAATGAATTCGACTTGGAAAGGAGTTTTAAGAACTCGCGGGACAACGTGATGGTAGCCTTGAAACGTCGAAACCAGAGACGATCGCGAGAAATAATTATCTAAATCAAAATAAATACACGGAGATAATTTCTGTTTGACCACTCGAAGGGAATAGACATCGGTAACGAAATAATTAATCGATAAGGAAAAGTAATAAGCCAAATACGTATTTGAACGTGTAAGATCTTCAGATCGATCGGCAGATTTAGATAGATAGAACATATTAGTTGGGAGGCAAAGGGAGGAATTGGAATTGAAACGGAAAGACTGAGATGACGTTTTCGACTCGCCTCGTGACACGTGCGTAATAATTGAGCGGCCTCAGCGCCGATTGATCGATAGCTCTCTCGAAAACCAGATTAAAAGCCATCGATAATAGTTTAACTGCGCGTCTCTTGACCTCCTCTACAGCACAGAAGCTATTAATATCGGTCGAAAAAACGATTCTAGATAAGGTACTCGTACGATTCGAGAAAAAGATTTATAGATTAGTTAGATTGTCGCGCGATAGACTATTAACGACACTGATTTTCACTATAAAAACAGACCAACGAATCGATTCGTAGTCATACACGACCCACAGTCATCGACTC